AAGAGGTGGCCGAGGCGAGCCCCTCGCCCGCCCCGGCGCCGCCGGGGTCCGCGCTCGCGCGCCGGGAGGCGGCCCAGGGCTAGGCCGGCCCCCACCCCGCGGCATCGCGCTCGACCAGGTCGAAGCGCCACCTCTCCCTGAACGGCGCCGCCCGGCGGAACTCCGCGTCGGCGACGCTGGCGACGTGCAGCGCGTAGCCCTTGCTGGAGGCGCCCCCGCAGAAGGCAATCGGCGCAGGCTCCGCCCCGAGATCCACGCCCGCGCAGAAGACGAGCCAGCTCGCGACCTCGAGCTCCTAGCGGACGGTGGTCCAGAGCGGGCTCTCCACGTCGTAGCGGTCCCCGATGAAGGCCCAGACCGTGTCCAGGCAAGACAGCGCGGGCCGCACCAATTGAAAATGATGCACCAGATGCCCGACGAGGACCTGCAGGCAACGCCCAGTCACGACACCCCGTCGCAGCACCTCACGCAAGGCAAGGTGCAGGCGCCAGGTGCGCCGAGGAAGCAGGCGCACCTGACGCTTCTTGCCGTCAAAAATCACGCCCAGCAGCTGCAGCTCCTGCGCCGCCAGGTTCTCCTCGTGGTAGTCGAGGTTCGTGGCCCTCAGGTCGTCCTTCACCGCCTCGAGCGCCCGCTGGGTCGACCCCCGCGTGAGCCCGATGACGTTCGCGCTGTCGACATAGGGCAACCTGACCGCGCAAGTCGGAGTCGGAGTCGGCGCCACGTGCCGATCCTGCACCACGACGCTGTCCGCGCCGCCGGCCGCGGCGGTGGTGGCGCGGCAGAAGTACAACGCCCAACTCCAGCCCATGGCCACCCCCTCGAAGACCGGGAAGACCAGAGTGTCCGCCGCCACGGGCCGATACCGACCCGACTCCTCGCAGAAGACCTCGGCGATGCCCCAGTAGTCCGCGCGCGCGGCGAAGTCGATCCCGAAAAGCGACCCCATGCTGCGGTTGCGGAACTGGTAGAACCCGCTGTAGAGGTCCACGCCCCCCGCCGACGGCTGCACCCAGCTGAGGTCGCCATCCTCCTCGCTGCTGGCCCTGATCGCCGCGTCCGACAGGTCTACCCCCGAGAGGGCGGTCACAGTGCCAAGCCACGAGTGAGGGGGCCTCTTACACAGTCGATTGGGCCCCCGGGCGCCCACGATGAGTCTCTGCATCCCATCCTTTTTCTTAACCACGAAGATGCCCACTCGCGCGCGAATGGGCGCGCGAAATCCAGCGAGCCCGAGCTCCACCAGCCGGTGGATCAGGCGCCGACGCTCAGGAGCGCAGAACCTCAACTTTGGATCCCAATACGGAGCAAAATGGCCAGTGTCGTTCTCGAGCTCGGACGAATCTCTCAAAACGTGGGCGTCGGGATCTGCCAGCATCGCCCGCTGCTCATCAGGCAACAGGTCTTCCATGTCTTTGACAGCCACGCCACAAGATAGTACCTTCACACGCTCGAAGTCGTAGTTCCCCAGGTTACTGGGTTCCACGGTGCACAAGTCTTTGACGCGCAGAAGCTCCTGGAAGGCTTCGCGCGACTTCAGGTCGTCCGGAAGATCCCCGGCCGACGAGACGAGGCGAGCCACCCGGCCGAAGACGGAGTCCTGAAGCCCGGTGAGCGGTCGCCGAAAGGCTGAGCGTGGCCCCTGATCGGCTCGCCGAAAAGGACGCGACGGGCCCTCCTGCAAGGCATTCAGCGCGCCCAGCGCGGGGAGTACCCGCCGCTCGCGACACCGCCGACGCCGAAGCCGCTGCTGCAGATATCGCCGATGATCGCGTAGAGAATCCAAACGCTCTTGAACTGGTGCCAAAACTGGCAGCGGGTCTCCGTGTTGGCGTCGACCAAGCTGCGGCCCTGGAAAGGCCCCGCGGGTCGCACGTGAATCCTTCGGGCTAGGGTGGTCCACATCACCGCGAGGCCGGGCATGCACGCTAACCCATGCCACCGGCATTGGGGCCGGTCTTCGGACCCTTCTCGTCCTCGCCGCCCTTCTGCCGCTTCTCGTCTGCTGCACGCTCCTCGCGCAGAAGCCTCTGCTGCTTCATCAAGAAGCCCTCGTCCTTCTGCCTCTCCGCGACACACTTTGTGAAGTTCTGCGTGACCACCTCGCCGCCAGGCCCCGCAGGAGTCGCCATGATCATGTCCAATCCGTCGAAGTCGGGCGCCTTCGGGCTGCGCCGCACCGCCGCCTCGATCTGAATCAAACGCCGAGCGGCCAGCTCAGAGGATATCAGGTTGCTGATGTCGAGCTGGTCCGTGGTCAGCATCAGGTAGAGCCAGGTGCTGACGAACTTGTGCTCGCGAGCGACGCCCCCGCGGGGCGCCACGCCGCTCTTCACCTCCCAGTCCAGGTTGTGGGTCACGAAGTTGAAGCCCACGCGCGTCAGGCCGTCCGCGTACTCCCCCAACGCTGTCGGCCCGTCCAACACCAGGACGGGCTGCTTCACACGCTTCGAAAGCTTCAGCCCCGATGCAGAATCCACGAACCGCTGCCCAGCTTTGTCCCGCATGTCGCCGAGCAGGCGCGAGTCCCGACCAGGCCCAGCTCGCTTCTCCCGCTGCCACTCCTCGTACTTGTCGGGCGTCACCTTCTCCGCGCAGGTCCACTGCCCATCCAGCTTGATGAGCGCCACGTTGTCCCTGATGACCGACGCGTCGCGGTCCCGCATGGCCTCGGCGGGGATCTCCCCCCCGAAGGCCTTCGAGCCCGTGTCGGCGATCCTCCACACCGCGTCGAGCCCAGCTGCGGGCCCTCCAGGGCGGCCGGGCAGCGCCGACAGGTCGAAACCGGCGATCTCGGCCAGCTCGACCGCTTCGGCCCGCGCCCTCGCCAACTCGGCGTCCGCGGCGTTCGGGTCGAACAAGAATGCTTCCGCCAGGTACTCCCGATCCACGGGCGCGTTCCGCCGCAGCACTCGGATCTGATGCCTCGCCAGGTCGGCGATCTGGATACTCCACGTTGGCGTCGCCACAATCCACCGACCGTCCCCTCCATTGATCAACAAAATTCTGTGGTGCCACCGTAGTCCGTTGGCATCATCATCAAAATTGATAAGCGCTTGCTTCTCAGGGATGTGAAGAGCTCGGAACATGTCCCGAGCAGCCGCCATCGCGTCGACTAGTCCTCAGGAGCAGCGAGCGTCGAAGGAAAGACTGGTCCAGTACGTGTAGCCGCGACTGACCTCTGAGCCTCGGAAGGCTTCCGAGCACCACGCCCGCAGGCGCGACCGAGCAAGTACCCGAGCACCCCCGAGACGAGGACGCTGATCACCAGCACGCAGATGAGGAACCGCGGGTACCCCGGGCACGCGTCGCACTCCGCCTCGCAGACGGGGCACGCGATGGGGGCGCGGCCGGACTGCTCCACCGACAGCTCCTTGATCACCTCCAGGTGTGCGCTGCACTCCAGCGCTGGGCACGAGCACACGTTCTCAGGGCACTGGCAGATACACTGTGTCGGCTCTGGCCGACTCCGATAGCCGAAGAGATCGCGTGCGATGACCCAAGCGAAGTGTGCCTTATCGGAGTTCATGTAGCGACGCGAGTCGCTTAATTAAGACTTGAGCCGAGGTGCCGACATACAGAGACAGGCACCTCAGGAAAACACGCAAGCTGAAAAACCGACCCCTTTCAGCCGAAAAGGATCGGTTTATTGCGTTGCATTCGAGCGGGGCGACGCTGTGAGGCAGACACGCTACAGCAATTCAGAACTGTGCAATATATATATATATATATCTATATATATATATATATATGGTACGCCAGTATGCCATCTTCCTCGGGCATGCCCTTGAGCCTTCCCCGTGGCTCCGTTCGCTCCAAGTGGTCGTTCAAAAAGTACCAGAGCTCCGCGTCCAACTTCGCATAGTCGTCAGTATCCAGCTCCTGTTTCCCTTTAGCATCATGTTCTTCTCTGTTGGTGGTTGACGTTTTGGTGAATTCGCTCAGGGTTAAGCTCCCACTCATAAGTTTGAACTCGTCGTCCTCTTCGTCATCGGGCAACGCCCTATCCATGGTTTCGAGCTTGTTGTTCACACGTTTCAAGTCTTTCCGACATACATGCTTCCCTTGCGAAAGCACGTTCAGCAACTTCTCTCTCCACTCCCTGAACTTGGTCCGACTACCCGAGAACCTCTTTGACTGTTGGGCGGCCTTGCATTCGCTCACACGTTTGTCTCCACATCCCCAGCCCTGGTGCTTCCTGCGGACTGTATAGCTTCAGCGACTTTGATAACATGCGCCAATGCGTTCGCTTGACGTGGAACTACGTTATGGCATGTTCTTAGGCTCTTAACCTGTTCCTCGTAATACATGCTGCGGTGGATGGCTGAGATCAACAGAGCGTTCACCTTGTAGCTTACCTGTAACATCGTGAACGCCTCATCTTCGTCGACCGTCGCCATGCCAAAGGTAACGCTGCGCTCGATGAAATTAATCTCATATGTTCATGACTGGCTTTGACGGCGGCGGTAACCTACCTGAAATTTCCGTTCTTGCCACCAGCGTCGCACAGTTCCGCGAGAAACGGTTCATGCCCAGGTTGCACCAGGCCCCTCGGACATCAGGTAACGACACGTTGAACTTTGGGTCGGCTGTGCCAGGGTTCGGTGGAGTGGCCGCGGCTGCAGCCGTGGACATCGCAGGGAAACGACTGCTTCGCGGAATTAACCACGTGCACTGGAACCCGTGGTGCGAACCACGAGCTCAGCTATCATGAAAATATGGTAAGAACCTTTTTTTTTCCGCGGAGGAAAATATTACTTGAGCCAAATACCAATGGTATCGGACAAAGATGCAAAACGGTCCGAAGCGTACCGGTCAAAACTAATACCTCCATCCAGTCGCACGGCCATGTTCTAACACCTACTCTTCCTCCTCTTCCTCATCCTCCTCCTCCTTCTCCTCCTCCTCCTCCTCCTCCTCCTCCCCCTCCTCGTCCAATTTTGCCCTCCCTCCCCCTTGGAGAGCTGCGCCTGCATCTTTCTACACCTCTCTCCGGGCGCCTTCCAATTGCATGCACGCGTCGCCCATGCTGTCCATCAGCGAGGGCAGCCTCTCTGGAGCCGACCGGGCCTTCAGGTCCTCCAGCAGCTGCAGCAGCGCGGCAGCGTGGCTGTCCCTGCCGGTCACCGCCCGCTCGATGGACGCGTGCGCCCTCGCGGACATGCGCTCCTGAGCGGCCGTGGGCACCCGCCCCCGCCTTCCTGGGCGAGGAGGGAGGGAAGGGGGAACAGGACCAGGTAAGGGAGGGAGGGAGGGAGGGAAGGGAAGGGGAAGGAGGAGGAGGAAGGGAAGGGGGAAGGGGAGGGAGGGGAGGGGAGGGAGGAGGCGGAAGAGGAAGGAAGAAGAAGGAGGAGAGGAGGGAAGGAAGAAGGAGGAGAGGAGGGAAGGAAGGAGGAAGAGGAAGGAAGAAGGAGGAGGAGGAAGGGAAGGGAGGGAAGGGAAGGGAGGCAAGGGGAGGGGAGCAGCATCAAGAGCCAGTCGTGGGCAGAGGACGGCGGGCGAGGCGAGGCGAGGCGCGCCACGCCTGGCCGAAGATCGGCCCGACCCGCAGGGGGGCAGGGCGCGGAGGCCGCAGCCCTGCACGTGTCGCTCCTGTGCGCGAGGGGTCGAGACTCGGCTACACGCCAAGAGTGACCCTGGGTACAGTCGGGGCGTTGACCTAAGGAACCCTAAATGAGGAACGAGGCCCCTTTCATCCACAAGTTAACCTTCGATTTCCCATCGAAAACAGAAGGAAAACCTGAGGCAAGCTGCGAAACACTTAAGGAACACGGGGCCCCTCCCCAACGACAAGGGTTCCTTCTTCAGGGCCCCGACTGTAAGAGTGACCTTTGGTGCGCGACTTTTTTGAGGCCGCGGGGGGACCAAACCTGGACGCGCAAGCAGCTGCTACCGTTTCGTCAGCCATCGGGGGACCCATCTGTGCCGGCACCAAAGGTCACTCCGGCGAAAGGTCACTCTTACGTCTAGTCGAAAGACTCCGGTGAACTCCCGTCCCCGGCGAGCCTGTGCCAGACTCCGTGGTACCCTTCCGACGGTAAGAACCAGCAGCGGGGCGGACGGGAGGGGCAGCGAAAGAGAGAAAGAGAAAGAGAGAGAGCGAGAGAGAGAGAGAGAAGAAAAAGAGATAGGAGAGAGTGTTAGAGAGAGGGAGAGGGAGGGAGGGAGGGAGAGAGAGAGAGAGACAGAGAGAGAGAGAGACAGAGAGAGAGTGACATATATATAGAGAGAGAGAGAGCGAAAGAGAAAAAGAGAGAGAGAGAGAGTGGAGAGTACTACACCAAATAATGCCAAATATAGGGGGGCAATGGCGGGGCGTGCGCCTCTTTGGTGAGCTTCCCAGGCTCCGTGGGTGCAGGTGCCTTTACTTTGCGACCGCGCGCCTTGGCGATGACGAGCTCCTGGTCCACCGCCTTGTTTACCTCCTGTCAGGAGCACGAGGGCTGTGCGCACACACCGATCCTAGCCAAGCTCCTCCTGAGATCCCGATCGGTGCACACGCCCTCCTAGCTCGGCCAGTGGGAACATTGAGGGGCAACGATGGGGGGGGGACTGGCAAGGGGGGTACACATCGACCTGGAATCGGCGACACATCGCCGATAGATCGGCGATAGGCCCCCGATGGGGAGTCCGCACGTTCCTGGGCGGGGTGGGGCCATCAGAGCCCTGTCAGCGATCAGTGGGCGATTGGAGGTCGATGCGTTACCCGCTGTGCCCATCCCACCGTCGCTGCCCCTGGGACATGTACGGTCGGACCTAGGGCAGAAGAACATGCCTCAAGAACATGAGACCCTCCACCAGCCCAAACTGAAGAACACTCGCGGATGCCCTCCCCAAAGATGCAGGAGGAAGAAGGAGGAGGAGGAGGAGGAGGAGGAGGAGGAGGAGAGGAGGGCGGAGGAGGAGGAGGAGGAGGAAGAGGAGGGGAGGGAGGGAGGGAGGGAGGGAGGGAGGGAGGGAGGAGTGAGGAATAGGAGGAGGAGGAGAAGGAGGAGGAGGAGGAGAAGGATTCTTTGACATCCAGCAAGCACGAAAAACATGAGGGCACCCTCACCGAACCGACCTCGATGCTATGCCTCGGGCTGACCGTACCGTGACACGAGGGCCCAGGGTGCAGGTGGAGCGGTCCCGGACTCTGGGGCTCTCCCTGGAACCAGCTACTCCAAATCTGGCAATCAAAAAGAGGGTCAGAATTCATTGGTGGCAACTCACGGGAGCATCCCATTCCGTCTTGTCGGTTCTTGCGGATAGACGCAAGACGCTAAGACGACGCCTAACCGACGTTACATCGGCGCTATCTCATCGACTCCCAAACCATACTCGACGCTAATCGACACTGAATACGGAATCCACCGGCCCCCCTGTGGGGCCATCAGGCTGCGAAGATTTGGCTTGCAGCTCCCTGTACCAATTGCAGCTTCCAGTTTCAACTGTTACCGTCCTGCTTTCTACTTCCTTACTGTTAATTGTTGCTGAACGCGAGAGGGGGGGAAGATGAAAAGCGTCCTGGTTAGCGTCCCCGAATCGTTGTCTGAATTCTCGGGGGGTCGTGGGACACGTCAAACAACTTGATATTCGCGTCCCCGAGGCCATTATCCCAAGTAAATTACTCCATATTCGAGTCCCCGGGGCCATAAACTCTTTTAAATTACACAAAAGTCGCGTCCCCGAAGCCATGATCCCTTGTAAATTACACCATATTCGCGTCCCCGAAGCCATAAACCCCCCGTAAATGACTCAACCTTCGCGCCCCCGAAACCATAAACCCTCGTAAGTTCATATTGGCCCTCGCGTGAAGTCCCGACATTGCTTCACGTCAGCGTCCAGACATCCCGACACAGCTCTGGCAAGTCCCATTCCAAGAGAGGGGGGCCGGCAGCATGGGGGCGAAGCCCTTACGGATTAAGAGGGTATACCAGGCTCCCATGATTTGCTGCCGAATCATAGGGAGGGAGTCACAATCCTCCCAAACGAGCAGTTTTAGACCCCCCCAAACCAGCCATGAAGAGGCGGCCTCGTGCCCTGACCCCATCGGACCCCCCCGAACCCTCCGAGACAGCTTAAATCAGACCCCCCTCCCCCAAAAGAACAAGGACCCCATCCTTCCTGCTATGAAGTCCGGAGTACTCCTCCCGAGCCGTTTGCTGAAGTTCCTGGGGGTGCAGCCCCAGGATGGGCGACGAGCAAGGGGGGGGAACTGAGAGGGAGAAGGCCTCCTTCGAAAGCGGCGGGGCTCCTCCGAAGCGCTCCCGCCTTCTGAATGGTTCTCTGCGTCGTCGGGGGAGGCCCAGGAAGCTTCTCAGAGGCCGGGGCCCTTCCGAGCCTCCTGCGAAGGCGCGCCCCGTCTCGCTTCCCCCCGGGCTCGCCGCCGAAACTCGGCATCGCTCGGACGTCCATTCCCCGTGCATTTTTCGATCTCGTGGTTTTCGTGATCTGAGCCAAAATGCTCCTCGATGGTCCTCGCCGAAAATAAATGCACACGTCCGAGCGATGCCAGCGAAAGGAGGGCCCATGGGAACCCGAAAATGGCGAACCAAAAACTCGAGAACCCCTCTCCTCCACAGGACCCTGGCCTTCGCGTTGGGTGTGCACTGATCCTGCGCCAAGACGGGCATGACCAAAACTGGTGTACGGCAGGTTCGTTTCGTGTCGACCTGGCCGTTGGCTCCTGACACCGCCGGGATCGTTCAACCTTGCACGATCGGCCGTTTCCGCAACGTCCGATCGCTCAACATCGACCGACTCTGGGCCGCCGCCGGCCCGGCGTTCAACGTTGAACGCCGTCGGCGGGGTCACCGCCGGTCGACACGACACGAGCCTGCCGTGTGTGTGTGTGTGCCGAATTCCCGTCGCCCGACCTCGAGACAGCCCTTGAGCCTCTGCACCTTGCCGGCGAGCGCCTCCAGGAACGGGAGCAGCCAGGGCGCGACCCGGATCATGCCGTAGTCCCCGAGGCCCTCGCTGATGCGCTGGAACTGGACCAGCACCTTCGAGGGGCTCTGCAATGCGTACCGCCAGAGGGGGACGCGTCTGCTTCCGCCCACGACTTACAATAAACATCCATACTCTAAACTTGGATCGTGGCCTCCGAGGGGGCGGCTGCAATCGACTACCCCCCCTCCCGCCCCAAGGAGCCCCCAAGAGCCCCCTTAAGGGGCCCCAGGGGAGCCCAAGACGCCGCCAGGGAGCCCCAAGAAGCTCCCAAGAAGCCCCCAAGAAGCCCCCAAGACGGCCCCAAGAGGCCCCAAATAGCGCTCCAGGGCCGGCGGAATGAGCGAAGCGATTAAATGAACATCCATACTCTAAACTTCTAACTTATCAGGGTGGCGCTGACAACCGTGAAAGCGGGCCGCGGCCAACCCTCCCTGGCACGCACCCGTGCGCACGCTCTCGGGCAGGAACCCCCGTGTTTGGTCCCAACGCCTCCGCGCAGGCCAACACCTCCCAGCACGAAACCCCAAACCACCCCGCCGCCTCCACGGACGCGCCACGACTAACCCCCATCGCCGGTGTTCCAAACGGGGGGGCCGCTTACTAACCTAATCGAATAGTAAAGACCCCCGTAAGTCCCACTTACCATTTGGGGCTCCTTGGACGTCAACATTGGCTCAGGATGGGCCGAAGAAGCAGGAATGCAAGGGTAGCTTTGATGAAACAGCGCATCCTTCCTTTGGATTGTGACTGTAATATATTTCACCCGAACCGGCCATCATTAGCCACATCTGCCCAAAGCTCCTGAGCGGCCAGTTGCCCGGAAAAGTCTCCACAGGCTCATCTCTGCAGCCGTCTCTCCCACTGAGGGAAAGATCTACTCTCGGGGCTCTCTTGGTGGTTTTGCGGTGCCTCTGGGGCCATTCTGGGGAGCGTCGGACCCATTTGAGCCATCTTGGGCCATCTTGGGGCCTCGCATGCCCACACGAAGCCGAAATAACGAGGAGGCGGAGATGACGATTCATGAGCATGTTCTTAGGGTGGAGGGCTTGGGGTGAAATCCATGTGGACCGTTGCCCCTAGACAATCAATCCGTCTTGTGGTTTGGTGGCTTTCAGGGTGACGTTTGCGTGATATAGCGGCCTGTGTATATGCAGCGCCTGGCTTCTGCTACGACGGCACGATTGCCCCCCCACGTGGTCAGGCACCGTTGATGGCTCGTCTCGAACAAGGCTTTGCCACCCCGCCGATGTCACCCGCGGGTTGCTCGTGCGTCGACGAGTCCACGCTCAGCGCACATGCAAGTGGCAGGCGGGCGCGAACTCTCTCGACATCGTATTACATGCGTTTCCCTCTGCTGCTGGCGCCCCGTCCCTGCTTGGCCGGGCGCTTCGCTGTTGGTCGGCTGGCTCGCTGGCTGGCTGGCTGGCGGACTGCTGGGCCGGCCGGTCGGATGCACGGCCGGCTGGGTCGCTGGCCGGCTCTCCCTGGGCCCCCGAGCACGCGACAGGCGCGCCAGGCAGGCGAACGGGCACGCACAGCGGGCGCGCGCGGCAGGCGCACGGGCACGCGACGGGCCCCCGACGGGCGAGCGAGAGCGCGACTGGCGCCCGGCGGGGTCAATCCAGAGTACCAGAATCCGTTCTTGCGTTCTAGGAACTCACTTCGTCGTTCTAGAACTGCGCAGGCCGTTCCAGAACTTGTTTCTTGAGTGCGCTTTCTGCTGTGCGAGTTTCAAGAACTTGGTTTTACGTTCTAGAACTACTTCTGCCGTTCTGGACTTCGCTGTGCGGTTCTAGAGCTTCGTTTTGCGTTCCAGATTGCGTTTTCCATTTCTGAAACCGCCTCCTGCCGTTTGGCAAAAAAACGCGTGAGACAAACGGCGAGGGTCGGAATTCGGGAGCCCATCGTGGGGCGGCGGGGGTGGCCCCGAGTGGAGCCCCGAGATGGCTTCGGAGGAAAGTTTGCGCACGTTTACAGAGCCAGAGTACTCCAGCTTGGCGACATGGGGGACATTAATTGAGGTGCTGGCGACGGCGTGGGCGTGGTCAAGGGCCGCGTGCACGTGGATCCCAGAAAAGGGATGCACCCACCCACCCCGCTGCCATTAGCGATGAGCGCGGGCGAGCGGATGATGATGATGATGATGATGTTGTTGTTGATGATGATAGTTATGATGATGATGATGATGATGATGATGATGATGATGATGATGATGATGATGATGATGATGATGATGATGATGATGATGATGATGATGATGATGATGATGATGATGATGATGATGATGATGATGATGATGATGATGATGATGATGATGATGATGATGATGATGATGATGATGATGATGATGATGATGATGGTGATGGTGATGGTGATGATGATGATGATGATGAAGACGATGACGCTGCTGATGATGATGAGGATGACGCTGCTGATGATGAGGAGGATGACGATGATGATGATGATGATGATGATGATGATGATGATGATGATGATGATGATGATGATGATGATGATGATGATGATGATGATGGTGGGAGGGTGGAGGGGGGCGGGGGGGAGAGGGAGGTAGAGGAGAGAAAACATAAGCCTTGGAGAAGGAGTTGCAAGAGGAGGCGGAGGCAATGATGGTGGTGGAGGCGGAAGCGGCGTGCAGGAGGCGGAGAAGGAAGGGACGGGGGAAAGGGGGAGGGAAATTGACGGGTGGCGATGTTTTGGGCGAAACCGCATTTCAGATTTCACCCCTTGCCCTCCACCCAAAGAAAATGATTTCGGACGTTTGGGGGAATCCCTGGGAGGCTCTTGGGGATACGTCAGAGACATGTTGGTGTCTTGTTGGGGGCCTCTGAACCATGCAAAAGGCCATCTGGGCCAACAAGGCACCGCCAGGTCAGGAGAAGTCGAGGAAGTCCCCCCATCAGTCCCAGCCTCGACAGAATGCTGGCATCCAAGGCCTTTTGCACATTCTCAAGATCGAAGAAGCCGATTTGCAAACAACTTACAGAGGACACCATGCGGTTGGCCCTTCATGGTCTCGAAAAGGCTTCCCAAAGGACGAAACTTTCCGCCATAGCCAACCTCGCGTTACCAAGAGGCCCCCGATACAGACAAACGGGCCCTCCAACCGCTTCTAAGAGACTCCAAAAGAGAGAGGTCATACAACCTCCAAAAGGCGTCCAATAGGATCCTGAAATGGCCCAGGAAGCCTCCAAGATGCATCATGTATGGCATCATTGGCCTCCAAGCGACTCCAAAGACGGCCCATCAGGCTTGTCAGTCATCGGGACGCGGTCAAGAAGCCACCAAGAGGCTTCAGGCGACCCAAATGCCGCCTACTCTCCCCCCAGAGGCTCCGAAGAGGAGTCCACATCCTTTGGAAGCTACGGTCGGACCTAGGACAGAATCCTTCAAGAAGATGAGACCCTCCACAAGTCAAGCTGAAGATCACTCGAGGGTGCCCTCCACCAAGATGCAGAAGAACATCCAACAAGCACGAAGAACATCAGAGTACCCTACCCGACCCGCCCTCAATCTTATACATCGGTCCGACCATAGTCGGGAGCGGCCAAGAGGGGGGTGTCCAAGAGGGGGGGGTGCAAATCATGACCGGCGGCATGTGTGCGGCCCAGCGGGTGGGCCAGGGACGTAATGAAACAAGAAAAGGCGCCATGAAATCTGGGGAAAATATCATGGCCCCCGCCATGATATCCACCCCCCCCCTAGTCATCACCCCCCTCTTTGCCGCCCCCGAATCATCTCCCTCAGCTGCTCCAGAGAGGAGTCCACATCCTTCGGAAGCTACAGAAAAAGGTTCAGAAGACGCCCGAGAACTACCCCGTGAGGCTCCGAATATACGTACTGCGACCCTCGGGGGGGCTCGCGAGAAGAGTGCCACACAGCTTTCGTCGCAGCGTGGCTCTCTTGATTGCTACTCCCACCATTTGCGCCTCGCTCCTCTCGGGGGAGCGACAGGGAAGGATAGCAAAGGGCAGGGGCGAGAATCGGCTCACGTGGCTGGTCTTCCCTGCGCCTCCTGGCGCCGGGACGCGCCTGTGTATCGCGGAAAGGGCCTGGCGGCGGGGCCGAAACCGGCTGCATGCAGCAGATGTCGTTACCTCTCTTTTCTCTATACATTCCGCCTGGCCCGATCCCCTCACCCCATGACGGCAGAACATATCGAAACACTCCGAAACATACCAGCCAAACCGGACCGGACCGCCAGAGACGACCAGACCAGACGATACCACCCAAGGTCAGGTCGAGCGCAACGGACGGAGAGGGACAGAGCAGACCAGACCAGACAAGATGAGAGGGAGATCGAAGGAGCCACCAATGTGTCCGTAGATCTGTCGCCCGGCGAATGTGGACGCGTAGGTGGCACAAGGGAGCCAAACTAGACCAGACCACACAACAGCCGACCGTAAGGCACTAGACCACACCCGGTACACACCAGACCAACACAGGAGCGCGGCACTGGTCGCTGAAGGGCTGGTGGCATCGCGCGAAGCGTAGACGACAAAATTTGAAGCGCAGCCAAGGCTCACTGAGACTAGCACCACTCCCAAGAGGTACATCAGCTCGTCTGAGGCCTGAATGGCGGACAGGTAGACTGATCTGAAGTGGCCCTGCGAGCTGTCGCGAAAGGGCCCTGCCAGACCGCTGTTGCTGAAGCGGCCCCTGTCGAACTGCTCCTTCACGTGCTTCAACACGGAGGCGAGCTCGCCAGGCAGTTGGTCGTCTCTCTCCGCTGTGCTCGTGGAGCCCCTTCTGCCAGGGCTCGAGGAGCGTGCACGGACGAGGGCTCGGTCTGAGCTGGCGCTGAGCTGAGTGCACCCAGAATCACTAGCCCTGTTCGGCGGCATGGATAGGGGAAAGAACAACGACATAAACATAAAAACTCGAAGGTCCGCGCGGATTTCTCTGATCCGTGCGGAACTGCGAGTTTTTAATGTTTATGTCATTGTTCGCTCCCCTAATGGACTTAGGTCTAGGGTTGCCTCGGTGAACAGCGCCTCCCGTGATCGCCAAGGGTGCCACGGAAAACCTTGGCCTGTCCGCAATCATGGCAGACGAGGCCTCGTCCTGGGCGCTAGCGCCACCGAACAGCCGGAAGGCGCACTGCTGGCTGAGGAGAGCTGCAACGAGAGATCCACACAGTGTCTTCCAGTGATCCTGTGGGAGCCCCTTTTTACGCTAAACAGCCCGATCCTCCCTCCCCTCTCCTATCGGAGGGCTGGGAGGACTGGACTCGTCGGCGCGACGGGAGCCCCCAGTCCTTCATGAGGGCCTGCAGCTCGCTGTCCGCGCGCCCTGGCAAGGGGTTCTTCCCCACCGGCAGCGACTGCCACAGAGCCACCACCTTGCGAAACTGTCGACTATGCGCCAGCACCAAGGCTGGCCAGGCTCGCACTGTACGCAGGATCGACAAACTCAATCCTTGCAGACGGGGGATCCTTTGAGACTCAGACGAACAATCTTTCCAGACGAGGGATCCTTTCAGACGAGGGATCCTTTCAGACGAGGAATCCTTTCAGACGAGGGACCCCTGCAGAATCGACAACTAATCCCAGCGATCCTTTCAGACTCCATCCATCAAGACGAAAATGAAAGGGGCAGGGCGGGATATGGGCAGAGAGGTGGAGGGAGGAGGAGGAGGACGTGGGAGGTCAGGGGGCAGGAGTGAGCTCACTGCCCTGAACAGGACGAGCCAGCCAGAGCCCAGGGGTGGAGTGAGAAGGGACGGGCCTTCTCAAAGGCTCGGAAGCCTTCCCAGACGATACTGAAAACCTCTCAAAGGCACGAGGGCTTCTGAGACGTCCCGCCGCCTTCTGAGAAGGCCTTCTCCTTCGCACTTTCCCCCCTTGCTCGCCGCCGGATTGCGTCCTCAACAGTTCCCGGCGCCTCCAGCGACGGCAGCCTGTCCGTCTGCTTCAAGTCTGTGGACGCCAGCAGCAGGTAGGCTATTGCGTCTGCGATAAGGTTGCGGCTCACAGAGAGCGCGGCTGCCGCCAGCTCTGCGCACGTGCGATCGCGCTTCAGGACCTCTTTCAGCTGAAGTTGCATGTGGTCGAAGACCTCCGCCAACGTTCGCATGAAACTACGAGAATTGCTCGAGGGGAACACTCGCGGGTAATTCAGCACGTCCCGGCAGAGGCAGCACATGCGCCGTACCTCGTCCTCGCCGATTCTGGAATTGGCCGCGTGAGTACGAAGCCAACGCTTCAGCAGTTCACATAAGCGTGTGCGGGGGTCGTGCTTGTATGACTTCCGCATGGCCATGAACCCGCAGCCATTCGCTCGACGCTCCCTCTGATACGTTAGGACCACATCGAGAGCAGCCACAAGGTGTGCGTGCTCGTATCTTGGAACGCCCCGTTCCAGACTGGTGATAGTAAAATCTCGAGTCTCGCAAATCTCAATTAGCGTAGGGTCTACCATATCAGGGCTGAGAAATCCTAGCAGCGAAACACCATGCCTACTACTCCCCCATGCCCTTGCGAGTGAAATGAAGGGGGGTTGAGGAAAAGATTCCGGTTGAAGTCCAAATAACTGCAACGCAGGAAACAAAAGTTCGGTGGCAGCTCATGGGAGCCTCCCATACCATCTTGTCGGCTCTTGCGAGTCGACGCTTCTCGACGCTAGTCGACGCTCATTGAGGCTAAATCGACGCTAATCGACGCTAGTCGACGCAAAATCGGCGCTATCCCATCGACTCCCAGACGCTAATCGATGATAATCGACGCTAATGACAGAATTAAAAGGAAATACCAGGCTCCCATGACTTGCTACCGAATAAATGTGCTCACGCGCTCTCCTCTGAGTCCTGGAAGTCGTAATGTATCATGTTCTCGGGAACGAGGAGGAAAGGAGGAGGATACGACAGAGGCGGAGGAACTGGAGGTCAAGGCCGAGGCCGAGGCGGAGGATGTGACGAGCGGAGGAGGCTGCACCTCGTTTCCTGCGCGCCCACTGCGTGGAGCCGCCAGCCGACTCCGCCTGCCGACCTGCCCTTCGGCAGCAGCTCTGCAAATTTGACAAGCCCACCACAGGGTTGTCGTCTGCCACGGCGACACTGCCAGCGTAGCATCACAGCCAGCGCACGCTGCCCTGTGCCGCGTGCCAGAACGCGCACGTAACCGGGCGCCTGCAAGCGCAGCTTCTGCGCAACCCCAGTAGGCCTTCATGGAAAGAGAGGATGGGCTGCAGAAGTGCGCTGGGAGCGAAGGGAGCGAAGCCACCCAATCGCAACCACTTCGCAATACCTGTTTAGCCCAACCGAAACAGTCTGGGCATCCGTGCCTGCTTCACACCCTTAACACGCGCAACGAGCCCCCTACGGTTCTCGGGTGGACGAGGCTGTTCTCAGAAGGCCTCTGCTTTCTGACCAGTCCCCCGCCTTCTTAGAAGGCCGCCCCCAGATGCAGGACAGAAGGGGAAGCACTAAACAGATCTAGCGTGGATTCTTAGGACCGCCAAATGGGAGCATCTGGCTGCGTAGATTACCTGGCCCTACGATGTGCTTCGTGACAAGGCTCTGCAGGACGTCGAGCTGGCTGCGCCTGAGGGCGCCGATGCCGAGCAAACCAGCGGCAGGACCACACCTGGACGTCGCGGGAGTGGCGACCGCCGCCGCCGCCATCGCGCTGCAGGGCTTCTGAACCAAGCCGGCCCCAGCCCGCACCGCCAGGCGGCGGCCTTCGGCGGCCTGGGCAGTGGCGGCTGCGCGCTGCAAGGCCACCCGCGACCGACAATCGAAACGTCCTGAGATCCAGCACCGTGCCGCGAGGCAATGAGTGGAGTGTCCTGTCCTTCGAACCATCTATATGGGATGCTGTAAATACTCCTCAGGGGCCCAAACCTCCAACTCACAAGTCTCACGGGGGTTCCCGCGTGCCTGTCGGGGCGCCCCGCGTGAATTTTCCCGAGGCCTTGGGGGCGTGGCTGGGGGGCCATACTTCCCACGTGTCCTATTGGCCCCAATGGACCATCACGGGACTCATTTGGGTACTTCTTGGACCGTCTTGGGGGACTCTAAGCTGGGCCCAAGCGGCAACATAGCTGGAACACACGTCTGTGCATACGATACGTGTACAGATGTCGCTTCATTCTAAAGAGCAGACCCCCGAAAAACACAAGGGGGATGCCGAAGGGGTTTTCGGCGCCCTTCATTCCAAGATGACCCCCGAAACCGATTCCTGGCCCCAAGAGGCTCAAGAGGCCTCCAAGAGGCCACCACGCGGGCACCACAGGGCCCCAGGGGGGCCACAAGAAAGCCCCAGTGGCCCCCCGACAAAATCCCAGAAGGCCCCCAAGAGCTCCCCAAAAATGACCCCAGGAGGCCCAAACGAGGACCCAAACAGGCCCCCAACGGGCTTCCAAGACCCCGAGAGGCTTCCATGAACCAGACACGGTGTCGGGATGGGCCGAGGGCCATTCGATCCGCCGCCCCCTTCTGCTTGCAGAAGAGCACGCGGCGCACCGAGTTTGCAACTAGCGTTGTGGGCCCCTCCCAGAAGTTCCAAGTGGTGTCTTGGAGAGGAGAAACAAAAATGGATGATGTGCCGGTGGTGGTAAGATGGTGGGTAGGCTCGGGGACGAGGCGACCACTTTCCCAACGCACCTCAGATGGAGGTCAATATGCTGAGGCATGCATTGCGTGCCGAGTAGCACAGAGGGGAATTGAGCGCCCGGCAGCACATGGAGAGGAAGCAGGAGCACGCGAGGAGGCGGGGGAGGAGGAAGGACCAGCAAGTGCTCCATGCAACGCTTGAACTCAACGCAGGAGAAACGGGACGAGGACCAGCCAGGACACCCGCTGACAGCCCGAGCTCCTCCTCCTCCTCCTCCTCCTCCTCCATCTCCATCTCCTCTTCCTCCTCCATGAAATCATCACACAGCTGATGTAACATACAGCTGCAAAGTTATGAACCCTCAATCCCTCCTTCCCTCCCTCCCTCCTCCTCCTCCTCCTCCTCCTCCTCCTCCTCCTCCTCCTCCTCCTCCTCCTCCTCCTCCTCCTCCTACTACCTCTCCCCCCCACTCCTCCTATTCATCCCCCTCCTCTTCCGTCCCTCTCTCTCTTTCTCTCTTCTCTTCTCTCTCTCTCTCTCTCTCTCTCTCTCCTTCTCTCTCTCCCTCTCTCTCTCTCTCTCGCTCTCTCGCTCCCTCTCTCACAGCCTGGGGAGCAGGAGGGGGAGGGGAGGGGGCTCCGAAGAGGGTGGGGAGCAGGAGCAAAGCGGAGCGGAGGTCCCTCCTTCGTCCCGCCCCCCTCCCCGCCGGGGGCGCGGGCGTCCAGCGTGGCCAGGTTCAGCGCGAAGAGCACGGCGAGCATGCCCAGCAGCACGTACCACGCAGGCAGCCTCCCCAGCAGGCAGCTCGGGGGCTCGCCTCCCCTGGGGGGAGCAGGGCGCAGCAGAGAGGGAGGGAGGGGGAGGGGGAGAGCGGAAGGAGCGAGAAGGAGCAGCAGGAACGAAAAGGAGCTGAAACGAAGGGAGGATCAGGAGGAGGAGGAGGCGGAGGAGGAGGAGGAGGAGGACCAATGTAAACCCAAGGGTTATCAACAAATTTGGAATAAACCCTCCCTCCAAGCTCCCTCTCCTTGGGCTACTACACCGGCTCATCTCCACTGAGGGAATCGTCGGAAGACAACCGTTTGAAGATTCTGAAGCATGCCAAAACACAGTTTCTCGGGGTTCCAACGCCACGGATCAACCTGACTGTTGCGTCTTGACGAGCCTGAATCGTTCCAGAAAGCGATTCATGGGACTTCAACACCGCGAATCAACGTAACCGTTGCACCCGCATAATCCTGAATCTATCCAAAACACAAGTTCTGGTACGTTGACCATGGGAATTCGTGAAACTTTTCCAAATGTATAAACAAATTCGCGCGGTGCTAAGGCGAGAGCCACGTTTTGAAAAGGAACCGCCTTCAATCCGTGAAACACAGCAAATGTGCGCTGCGCTGAGGCGAGAGCCACATGTTGAAAAAGAACCGCCCTCAATTCGTGAAACTCTTGCAAAGATTTAAAAGCACATGTGCGCGTTCCTAAAGCGAGAGCCGCATTTTTCCCAACCCTCCTTGTGTTGGGCACTCGTTTTGAATAGAGCACAGTGGTATCCACCTCCCGCCCTCTCCTCCTTCTTCTCTCCTGTGTTCGCGGTGCCCTGCGGGGCTGCGATCTGCGCAACTGTCGCCACTTCGTGGGCTCCTGGGAGGCCCAGCGGAGGTACGTCTTACGCAGACCACTTTGAAGCCTCCCTGTCCCTTGCGGGGCTGCGATCTGCGCAACTATCGCCACTTTCGTGGGTTCCTGGGAGGCCCACGTCTTACGCACACCACTTTGAGGCCTCCTTGCCCCCTGGGGGGGCTGCAATCTGCGCAACTGTCGCCAGTTTCGTGGAGTCCTGGGAGGCCCAGCGGAGGTACGTTTTACGCAAACCACTTTGAGGCCTCCCTGTCCCCTGCGGGGCTACGATCTGCGCAACTATCGCCACTTTTGTGGGTTCCTGGGAAGCCCAGCGGAGGTACGCCTTACGCAAACCAGTTTGAGGCCTCCTTGTCCCCTGCGGGGCTGCGATTTGCGCAACTGTCGCCACTTTCGTGGGTTCGTGGGAGGCCCAGCGGAGGTAAGTCTTACGCAGACCACTGTGAAGCCTTCTTGTCCCCTTGGCGCACCTGGCGCGCACCTGGCGCACCTGGCGCGCACCTGGCGCGCTGGGCGCACCTGACGCACCTGACTCGCTGGGCGCACCTGGCGCGCACCTGGCGCACCTGACGCACCTGGCGCACCTTGCGCACCTGTCGGACGTGTCGCACCTGGCGCAAATGGCGCACCTGGCGCACCTGGCGCACCTGGCGCGCACCTGGCGCGCACCTGGCGCGCACCTGGCGCGCACCTGGCGCGCACCTGGCGCACCTGACGCACCTGGCGCACCTTGCGCACCTGACGCGCACCTGGCGCACCTGGCGCACCTGGCGCACCTGGCGCAACTGGCGCACCTGGCGCACCTGGCGCGCCTGGCGCGCACCTGGCGCACACCTGGCGCACCTGGCGCACCTTGCGCACCTGGCGCACCTGGCGCACTGGCACACCTGGCGCACCTGGCGCACCTGGCGCACCTGGCGCACCTGGCGCGCTAGGCGCACCTGGCGCACACATGGCGCACACATGGCGCACACCTGGCGCACCTGGCGCACTTGGCGCGCCTGGCGCACCTGGCGAACCTGGCGCGCCTAGCGCGCCTGGCACACATGGCGCACCTGGCGCACCTGGCGCGCCTGGCGCCACTGGCGCACCTGGCGCACCTGGCGCGCCTGGCGCGCCTGGCGCAGCGGGCGTACCTGGCGCAGATGGCGCACCTGGCACACCTGGCGCGCTGGGCACACCTGGCGCACCTGGCACACGGGGCGCACACCTGGCGCACACCTGGCGCACACTTGGCGCACCTGGCGCGCCTGGCGCATCTGGCACACCTGGCGCGCCTGGCGCGCCTGGCGCACCTGGCGCACGTGGCGCACCTGGCGCACCTGGCGCACCTGGCGCACCTGGCGCACCTGGCGCACCTGGCGCGCCTGGCGCGCTTGGCCCACCTGGCGCGCATAGGCTTCTGGGAGGCTCAGCGGAGGTACGTCCTACGCAGATCACCACTATTCCATGGCGCCGAAATGTCCTTCGGTATTGAATGGTCCTGAATGCAATTGCCACTTGTGTAGAGAGGGTTGGGTACGTCGCATGATAATTGTTTAAAAGATGTGTACCTATATATATATATATATATACATATATATGTATGTGTACTTATAAGAGGGACAGAGAGAGACACACCCCGAGAAGAAAACACATAAAACGGTTGAGAGTTGGTGTAAAGAAATGTCAGAGTGCCAATAATCTATACCACGAAGGATGGAGTACATGCCCGAAGTTGAAGTGGAAAGTTAAGTAGAGAGAGAGAGAGAGAGACTTATGAAGAAGAGAACATGGGAATGAACAGAACAGCTCTAAAAGAGTGGAAAATATGTAGCCAGGTGCAGAGGGAGCTCCGAGGGCACATGCTAACGACGCAATAGCGCGCAGACGTGAAATGCCTGCGGGAATGTCGAGAAAATCTTCTGATCGGGGCGTTACCTTGTGCATTACATATGCATGTATCGATATGTATAGACATAATATATACAGGTATTTCTATATTTGCAAAACATAGACACATGTACTTACATACTGCGTGTGTATATACATAGATGTGTATATAGACGTATACCATTATGTATATACCTCCGTACATGCAGATATATAACCCAATCAGCGCATGCACTGTACAGACCTGGCAACAAAAATCCTTCGCAAATACTGGGCCGGGTTCTGTATGCTGACAGGGTCCCATGTTCCTGGTTCGGGAATTCGGGCCGATATCGGTGGGGGGTCGGGTACACAGGTTCCCACTTCCTTGGTTCCCGGTCAGTGCGAGAAGATAAATAGTAGAGGATAAACCGTCTGTGTTCATTTCTATATCCGTACGTGAATACATACACCTATACCCCAGAAGTTCGATAAAGATGCACCAAGGAGAAGGAGAGCGAGAGAGAGCTGGGGGAGAGTAGAGCGTAGCGAGCACGGACCTTCAGGACCGATGGAGAGGAGACAGAGAATAGAGAATATAGTAGTTGGAGAGAGGCAGAGAGAGTAAATGTGTAGCAGAAAGACTAGATGGAACAGACAACAAAAATAGAGAAAGAGCACATTCGGTGCATAGAAAATGAGAGAGAACCCATATGCAGACACAACAAAATAGAATAAGAGAGGGAGGAGAAGGCAAAACATACATAACTGTGGGCGATGTGAAAGAGGAAGAGACCGAGAGAGAGAGAGAGAGAAATATTTCTATACATATATATATATATATAACAAAAGAGAGAGAGAGAGAGAGAGAGAGAGAGAGAGAGACAGACAGGCAGAGAAAGGAGAGTACACCAGATGGTTGAGACATGAAGGAATGCAAGAGTAGAGGGGACGAGAGAGAGAGAGATAGCAGACACACAGAGAGAGGGCGCCGAAAAAAGTATGGACACATAGTATAGCAAGCACAAGGCCATCGAAAGCAGCCGAGGACAGGTCACATGGATATGTGTATACTAAAAATACTGGCATACTAACATGTGTATGTATACACGTGAATACGTACAAACGCATATACAGAGAGAGGGCACATGCCGTAGAGTACGACGTAGAGAGCAGAGATGGGACACGCGCGTGGAGAGCTTCAGGGGTAGAGAGGCAGAGAGGTAAAACTATTTGGAATTAGTCGAGCGAAGGACCTAAGCATATGCAATTGTGGGCACCGTTGTTGTATGCATCGCATGCGGTGGAGCTCCCTATGGGGCCACGAAACGTGTGAGGGAAGTGCCGACATGGGTGCGGTGGCCGCATGCGAAGCTGGCATGTGGGCGTCAGGTGGAGCTCCCCACAGGGCCACGAAACGTGTGAGGGGTGTGCCGAAACGGGCGCGGTGGCGCCATGCGAGCGCAGCCACTGGAGCCTTCGGTGGAGCTCCATGTGGGCCACGAAACGTGTGAGGTGTGTGTGTGTGCCGAAATGGGCGCGGTGGCGCCATGCGACCGCAGCCACTGGAGCCTTCGGTAGAGCTCCGTATGGGGCCACGAAACGTGTGAGGAGTGTGCCGAAATGGGCGCAGTGGAGCCATGCGAGCGCAGCCACTGGGGCCTTCAGTGGAGCTCACTTATGGGGCCACGAAACGTGCGAGGAGTGTGCCGAAATGGGCGCGGTAGCAAGGATTTTCGACGTGGCGGCCCCCCGAGACCACGAGGGCGCCATGTCAAATATCCTAGGGTTCCCAGAGCCACAACCCAATGATTTTTGACATGGCGGCCCCCGAGCCCACGGGGGCGCCGTGTCAAATTTCTTGGGGCTCCCAGAACTGGAATACCTGGATTGTTTGACTGGTGCCCCCACGAACCCACGGGGGCGCCGTGTAAAAAATCGTGGCCAAAACCCCAAGATGCTTGACGTGGCGGCCCCCGGGGCCCACGGGGGCACCATGTCGAAAATCGCAGGGTTCCCAGAACCACAATCTCAGGGTTCCCAAAACAAGAACCCCAAGACAATTTACGTGGCGGCCCCCCGAGCCGACGGGGGCGCCCTGTCAAAAACAAAAGGCTACCAAAGCCTGAACCCCAAGATAGTTTACGCGGTGGACCCCCGGGCCCTCGGGTGCGCCGTGTCGATAAGCTGGAGGTTCCCAAGACCGAAAGCCGAGGATGTTTGACGTGGCGGCCCCAACAAAGCTTGGGGCCCTCAAAGCCAAAACACTAGATCTTTGACGCGGCGGCCCCTCGAGCCCACGGGGGCGCCGTGTTTAAAATCGTCCCG